ATGCCTTTCCGGAGGCGCTCCGGGAGTGGAATTCTTAATACAAAGAATGGAAGAAAATGTATCGAGATCAAGGGGGAGGCAATACTCATAGCACAAGGAAATGGTGCCAACTACATTCCGGATGGCGTTGGGATGGAGCTGGTCAATGGTGACGCTAAAATGATTCAACACCTCCACTATTAGGGGTGTGCAGGGGAAGACGCAGGCCAGCCTCGAGCTGTTCCTGGAAAATTACTATATCATTGGGGCCATGCTCTCAAGGAAAGTTACTAGAGGGGAGACCGTAGATAAAGTCCCCGGGAAGATGAAAATGGCGGACTAGAGATCTGAGTCTCCCCATCGTCATAGAGGAGGGACCGACGGTGTCGGGCTCTCTACCCCGAGAGGTAGAAGCCACATCTCCGGAGGCTTCCCGAGCCTCCAAAGCCTGCCCAAGCTCCCCCCGAGCTCGAGGGGGCATCGTCGTCCTGGTCACCATCCCGGGGATAAACGTGGTACGGATACCCAGACATGATTGACAAAATAAATGACTCACCGGAAAGATGAAACGGTGTGAACAGAAGAGCTCGTGCAGATTAGATGGATGCGCGACAGAATCCGAAGACAACAAGTTAGCGTGAAAGAAAATGAGGCCTGAGGGCCCTCTTATTTATAGCCACTGTGCCCCTAGATCAACAACCCAGATTGAGACAGATCTGTCTGTTCGCAGTCAAGCTGATCGCACGCCTTTTGAAACTAAAATGTGACTGGCTGCACGTCTCCCATGATTGAGGTAATGACAGCTGCACGACATCCAGATTTAAGAGTCACTTCGACGTCGGTGTTCGAAATGTCAGAAATCTCCTGACTTCTGCACACGCATTTAATGCGGGCAGTCAATCAAGTTTGAACTTTGGTGAAATCCACCTGTCCCACTTCATGAACTCCTCACACTAAGGTAGCACTCTTAGCCCGAGGAGTGGGGGCAATTGATGGAGGATGATTTGACCCGACCCCTTGAGACAATGACACGTGGACCTGATTCAACACGAGCAACAACTTAGCACCGTAGCCTGACTGCGACTAGGTAACGAGCTTGCAGGACAGCTCGCTACATAATAGCTCACTATAGGGGGAGCTCGAGGTCCCCTGAGCTACCGAAAGGGAATACTCCAAGGCTATCCCAACTCGCGAGCTAGGGTAACCAGCTCGCTCCAACACTTAGGCAGAAAGACTGCCCCAAAGGTAATCCCGATGTGGGTCACCTAGAAGTACCCATGGGAGCTCATTACGAAGTAGCTTGCGACAAGATAGCTCGCTGTGTGACAGGGTAGCTCGCGACTAAGCAAAATGATGCTCTCAAGGAAGTTTCTATCTGACAAGACCGTACCCATCAAACTGCGTCACGTTTCTTGACTAACGGCGCAGTCCCTGTCCATTCGGTAGACTGTACCCATGTCTCTTGACAGATGGTGGCGTGCCTGTCCTCTCGAGACGTGTCACCCATCCAATTGGGTAGTACCCTACAACGATCACCTGTGCAGCCCTGGCAGGTAACGGCTGCTACAGAAGCCCAGTGGCGGTTACGCCCGATTTGACAAGAACGCCTATATAAGAGCTCCCTAGTTAAAGGGAAGCTCTCTCTCGAACATTTGAGATCCTATCTGAAATTTACTTGCTCTCGAGCTAATCTTGAGAACTTAGTGATCCAGCGCGACCTACACTCTTTGCTTTCTCCCCCAGCGTTCTAACTTAAGATTCAGATATTCCCGCCGGGCAAATCCCCCGGGAATCCTTCATCTTCTTCCTCTCAGGAGCCGTCCGTTGCCAGTTAGGAGCCAGTCAGCAACCAGCTAGGAGTGCCCGGTTCGTGCCACATCAATTTCAATGCAGGTAAATGCTTTTGAGATCGATTTAGCTTCTCACGCACCGAATTCCTTTGTGTTGCTGAACAGAGAAACTTTACAGAAGTACTCTGTCAAAGGATCGAGATCGGATATGATGAATATCTTCTCTGGCTTGAGTACAATTGTAGAAACGGTAGGGATCCTTTAAGATAATACTGCAACAATAGTTAGTCAATTTCCTAAACCTTAGGGGTAGTTTAAGAAATTTGTTCAAATAAAAATTATATATATATATAAATTATTATTTATTTTACACACAAATATTTAAGAATTAATAAAAATTATTTATTATAATTCATATAAAAATAAAAGTATTATATAGTATTTATTATTGTACATGTAAAGAAATAAAAATAATTTATTAATATATGTATATATATATAAAATTTGGAAGCAAGGTTCAAAATTTCGTAATTTAAATTTGAATTTCAATTTTAGCGCCTAATTGGAATTATCTTCTCATCAATTTCGTTAATTAATCTTAACCCTCATTCTCATTAAATTTGTTTTGTTAGTATAAAACTATAAACTTAGCAATAGCAAGATTCAAACCTTGGACATTAGACTTTAACAACTAGAGGTTCACCACTAAGCCACACCCATTTACTTCTTATAGGTTAATGCATTTTTATTGTTAAATAAATTTTCTCGTTTTCTCAGTGTATGCTTATCAATAAATGTTAGAATTAATTATTAACATTTATGTATTAATAAATATAAAGATGAATTATATTGATTGTTTTGAAACTAATATATATCAATATACATTTTAGTTCTTTTTTTTTGTTTTTTCACGTTTTAATTATTCCATCTTTTGTGAATAGTTACTAAGTGTGTCCCAATATCTTGAATTGTATATAGACCATTAAATTACAATTTTTTTACTTTTAAATAACTTATTTACAATCATATAAAACTTGTAACTGTCGCTATTAATATATTTTTAGGATTTATTTAAGTTTTTTAACGTATTTATGCATATCTTGATTTTTCATTCGTATCTATATGTATCCAAAATATATCCTGATATGTCCCTTAAAATTATCTTTCCGATACATCTTACATTTCTGATACTTTAAACCTTAGTTTGAAGTTCGATTTATTTCCACAATAAATGGTGAGCTAATCCCTTGTTTTTAAATTCCATATTTATATAGTCTCCTCCCATTTTACATGGATAGATTTGTAAACGGGGCTATTTTCAGATGTTATAAGGCGTTCATTCAGATATAAATAGTTTAGTTGTATTCAAACGTATATACAAGCCATAAAGTATATCATGATTTTTCAAAACCTTGAAGACTTAGAACCACATTCAAATCTTTTTTACTCTTTACAGTTAAGAGTTGAGTTTTACCAAATACCATCCAAGATATATTACTTATGATTTCTATTCAACTATTCATTCAAATGATTTTATAAAAATATGCAACGGCATTAAAATGTAAAACAAATATCAAAATTTAGTTTACGCGAATAAAATGCATTATGAATTAATTAATATATTGAAAGAAAACAAAATATAGCTAGTATTAAAAAATCCTCAAAATTGAAAACAAAAACATGAAGCAAATGTAGGATTTTTTTAAAAAAAAAAACAAACTTACCACCATAATTTGGGGTACGGGTTAGGATTTGTAGCTGTGTCCAAATTCCAGTGCTCCACGGAAGGGACAAAGCCAGAGTTATAGCCTGCATTACCATAGTTGGATTTGGCCAAAAAAATCAACAATCTCAACAAGTTCAGCAGTATTTCCTTTTTTTAATAGCTAAATTTTATTCCAATAAAACTGTTCTCTCTCTCTCTAAGCCCATAAATCCAGATCATAAGCCCATGCAGCAGAGAGATTTTGTGAAGTTGGTATTCTGATCATGCAAATAGCAAACGTATACTCCGTTGCTAATTTGTGACTCCAATGCCCCTAAGGCTCAGTTTGGAAAGAGTAGAAATACAAATATGAAAAGTTAAAAAAAAAAGATGGTTTTATTTTCGTGATTAGGCAGAAAGCTAAACATATATAAAGAAAACAAAACAAAGATTTCCTTAAAACAGTCCAATCCTTAAATAGATCATGTTCAGTCTTTTACGTCAAACCAACCAAACAGTATGCTGCGCGAAAACTGTGACCGTTAACCCAAGTTGACCCTCTACCACCCCCTTATTCACTGCCAGTCTGCCACATCTCTGGTCTCTGGTAAGCGGGAGACCCTCCACCTACATCTTTGCTCCTTCCAAATCTTTACCGTTTATGTCTCTCTCTTCAATTTCATATTTATTTCTTTTTTCACAGGAAGAAAAAAATTCTATATTGAATTCGTAAGATCTACTTTTTCTTGCTTTGCCAAAAAGATTCTAGATAGAACCATTTTTCTTTTTTTTTTTTTTTTTTTGTGGGTTCATGGGTGAGTGGGTCGTCTCACGGTAACAACCAACTGTGGGTCCCACGTGGTGCGCTGGCAGCTGGCTTAACAGTGAATGCACACTGAACCAATGGTTGAAGTACCCCCCACAACAACCAATGATTGATATATTAGTCTTACGTGTTGTAATCCCATTCGTAACCTCCATTGGAAGGGGCCCCACTTAAAACCTTCAATATGGGCTTTTTTGCCAAGGAAGATGTGCCCTTCTTTTTCTCGGCCTCCACTCCAGAGTCCAGAGAGTTGTCAATCAAAGAAAAATAATAAGGGAATACACCGGAAAAGGAGAAACGGAATCATGACAGGTAGATCGGGGTGGAGGGGATTTTACGTCAGTCTGAAGAGTGGGTAAGAAGAATGATTTCATATGCTACGTGTAATAATGCTAATGGATCGACCTGATGACGTGGTAAGCCCAGGTCTGTGATATTATTTTGCTTGGTGAGGGAGAGGGTGGATTGGTGGAGGACTACTCACCACGAGCCACGAATTACGAATTACGAATTCCGGATATGCTACAAACAAGACGTTGTACAAGGACAAGGGGGTCGGGTCCTCTAACAGTCTGGGCTGGGGCGCCACATACCCACGCAAACTTGTTCCTGAGAGTTATCTCCACCAAATGGGCAAATGGGTCCCGTCCCGTCCCCCATCTCTTCTCTGGCACGAATTACCTTTCTTAAATAATAAACCCTACTTTTAACGCCTATATATTCTCTCCTCATTCTTCCACTTCTCCCCACTCCTTTTCCTTTTCTCTCTCCTAGTTTACCTTGTTGGGTCATACGGCGAGATCGCACATTGAGTGCAGCTGCGACTGCGAGTACGAGAGAGAAGAAAACAAAACAAAACAAAATGATAGATCGGAAGAGTGTTTTCGCTCTTGCCTTCATCTGCATTGCCGTAGCTGGCGTAGGCGGTCAATCCCCAGCTGCTGCGCCCACCACCTCCCCTGGAACTTCAACTACCCCTGCTGCTTCCCCAACGGTTGCCACAACTGCTCCAACACCACCTACGACCCCGCCTCCTGTCAAGGCTCCCACTGCCGCACCGCCTACCGCTGTCTCATCTCCTCCACCCGCTTCAGCTCCTAAGGCTGCTCCACCTACCCCGACTGTTCCCGCTCCAGTTGCTACACCGCCACCGGCTGCTACTCCAGTGACAACTCCGGTACCGGTAAGCTCTCCACCATCGCCTCCACCTGCTACATTGCCTCCCCCGGTGCCCGCACCCACCAGTCCGCCTGTGGTTCCTCCTCCGGCACCGGTGGCCGCCCCTCCAACGGAGGTGCCCGCACCGACCCCTAGCAAGAAGAAGGCGAAGAAGCATATTGCTCCCGCTCCGTCGCCAAAGGCACTCAGTCCACCTGCACCACCGGCAGAGGCTCCTACTCAGGACATTGGCTCTCCCGGACCATCTCAGGCGGCCGACGTGGTATCTACTTTCTCTCGTTACCCTTTCTTTGCTACTATTGACATGCGCTAGCTGCAATGCTAGATGTGATCTGGACCGTTACATTCAGAATTTCAGATCAGATCTGGCCATGCTTTTTTTTTTTTTTTTCACCTTTAAATTTTGTATTTTGATTTTCTTTCGATTTAAAATAACTGTGTCGGGAATCGGGATGGGGTTCTTCAGTGGGGTGGCCGGTTGGGGAATAGATAAAATTCTTGGAGAGCGTAGAACTGTAGATAGATTGGGAAGCTTCCTTCATTCCTAAATCCTAACAACAGGAAGCCATTGATTGTTTGTGCTTGGTGCTTCACATTTTCCCAAGGCCAGGGGAGTGGGTCAGGGTGGGACAGCGTCGTGCAGTGTGTCGGCTAATTTTCGAGAGGGAAGGAAAATGGCCAAATTTGCTTTAACGTGCTTTCGTGGTGCTACATAGACATTGATGAGTCCGAGTCTGTACTGCACTCTCAGATTCCAATTAAGAGAGATGTTACCGGCTCCTAATGTCGGTGCTTTATTCACCTTATGGTGTTGATACGCCTATTATGCCTCCACACCGTCAGATGGACCTTGATATCCAACGGTGTGGAGCCGAAACTCATCTAACCAATGCCCCACACCAGGACAGGAAAAAAAGAAAATCATCTGTCTGAAGGGAACTGTCGCCAGTTGGCAGAAAGTACCAACACTGATCTACAATTTCGAGGTCCAGAAGTTTTCTTTTCTTTCTTCAATTGAATTAATCTGGTTTTTCTTTGGTGCAGAGCGGAGCGGAGGAGAAACTGTGGAGCGTGCAGAAGATGGCAGGAAGCTTTATTCTTGGATGGGGTGTTTTGCTTTGCTTGTTTCTCTAGAGACCTGGGTAGTTAGTTCAGACTTCAGACTTGAGAGAGAGAGGGAATCATTGAGGTCATCGTGGCCTGCTCTTACTTGTTCTGTTATTATTATTATTTTATTTTATTTTTTCTGGAAAGATCCTTTGGGCTTTGTCTATGTATGAATATGATTACTTTTACTTTTTGATTGATTAAAATTTACGGGTTACTGGCTGTCTCACCCAAACACAGACACTTTGAATATTTGATGAAGTATGATTTTGATTTTTGAGAGGTTTATATTTAACAATACTGTATATGCTGATGATGATTAGATAATTTAGAAGTGGTAATTTTTATAATAATGATGATAGTAAAATAATAGGGTAAAAGATTTAGAGCTAGCTCCCCTACGATTTCTACTGGGACTTAAACCTCTCCTATTGAATAGTTAGAATAGGAACAGAACCAATGGAAAAGACACTTTTACTCTTCATTATTTTTTAGGTTTTCAAATAACATATGCACGGTTCCCCTTTTAAGTCTTGCTTGTTAATTTCAATAAGACATTATCATTGTGAATGCAACTCAGCTGAAGAAAAAATTGAAGTTGTAAGCTTTAATGGACAATACAAGAGTCTTGATTCTTCGACTTTAAGGCAGAAGCTCTCAATCGTCCAATGAAAGCCCAACTAGAGAGAAGTAAATCCTTGCAAACTACTAGAAAATTCATCGGCTGTGATTCTGTGAGGTGGGTTGTCACCACTTGGGATTATTCTCGTCTGTCATACAGAGTGTGTCCACTTTTTCTTCGTAAGCCATACTTATCAAATCCCCTGTGGTTGAAGTTGCTGGAGCTGTTGTTCTTCTTCCATATCTTGACTCTTGTGGAATATTCTTGGGTTTTCCTATTAACTAACAACAAATTTATGTCCAATAGTAATGAAACAACGGAAATTACAATCACTAATCTAATATTAAAAAAAAAAAAAAGGACAACACAAATAGCACAATGTATTATTAGGTAAAACATAAAGAAACGAATAGGAATTTCATCAATTGACGATGCCAACTCTACCTGTAATGTAACTTTGCACCAGAATTGACAAACACCTCCCCTTCCTTTCATGTAATTTTGCTTGTAGGGCACGCATGGATAAGAGACGAGAAAAGATAATTCAATAAACTAAGTGAAAAGAAAAAGAAAATTCAATTGGGGTTTGGTTTTGAGTAAGGGGCAAAATTGGGTTTTTACCAGCATATGATATCATTATCATGTTCAAAGGGATCTTGATGGTTTCATAAGAAAGGGGAGGTGTTTGTCACTTTGTCTCATGGCATCACCCAACAAGTGTTGGGAGGTTTTAGCCCTTCCTGAAGGGGAAGTTATAAATATGAAAGGAGGTTTAAGTCTTTTATCCTAAATAATATAGTTTCAATTTTTTTATATTTTTATATTATTAGAGTTATAATTATTTTTGTTTAATAGGAAAGACATTATATATATATATATATATATATATATGTCCAAATGTTTCTTATTTGTTATATGTGTTTTCATTTTGTAATGGTTTTAAATTTGTATTTTATTTATATAATCAATAAAAATAATTATTCTTTATCACAATTATTTTTCTTAATTATGCCAAATTAATATAATATCCAATGAAGTAATGGAAATACTTCATGAGAGAAAATTGAATGAGAAAAACTATAGTAGTTCAAATTACATTTGTCTATCATTACAATTAGAACATGATCAAATAATTGGAGTATTTTAATCAAATAAAATTTCAAACTTAATACACTTTTAATAATAATACAGATTTCTTCTGACCCGACCCTTACTAATTACAGAAGCATTTTTAGTCAGAAAACAATTAACAAGCGAATGGTTAAATTGAAAACTCATATTCATTTTATGGGTGTCTCCACAACAAGCATAGGGATAAATGAATGAACGGATGAATCACGATCCTTGTGCGTCCTTCCAAAATGTTGTAGCCCAATTCGGTCAATTAATTTAGTCTGTGTTTGACCAGTGGTGGATCCATGATCTTTGATTAACAAGGCCAAGTATTATAATAACAACAATTTAGTCATAACATTTGATTAATTAAAATAAAAAAATTGAAATTAAAATATTTTTACTTTAAACAAATTGTGATAAAAAAATAAATTAAATATAATTTTCAAGTTTGAAGGCTTATTAACAAACAATGTTGAAAATTTCAAATCGATTATCTTTTTATCCTAAAAAAGAAAAAAAGAAAGAAAATATTGTTCCTAACAACACATAAACAGTTAGGACAATTGTTGCATAAACTATGAAACTACAAATGCATGAGAACCTCTCTGCCCAATAGAGAAACTAAGAGTTGTAAAACACCAAGTGAAAGATCTCACTCTGAAGCAAGGTTTAAAATATTAAAACATATCGAGTCATATCTGTGACTCCCAATATGCCCGCACAGTGGGTATTTTGGTGTCGACCTGGTTCAGGGGGTAGGTTGGCCTTAAACCAACCCTTTTAAACCAGTTTGTAAAAAACATTAAAATAAAAAGAAAAAACAAAAGTGAAACTAGATACAGGCCAATAACCCCAATGGAAAGTATGGACCTGTATGGTAGTTTGAACCTTGCCCTAAAGGAGAAAACACATCAACAAAATCAAGTGTCTTTCGTTCTTCAAGAATGAACAGAGATAAAAGGAAGAACTCCTGGTTCATTTCTCCAATTTACTCTTCCATAGTTTAACTACCTGTTCCAACACTAAACTTAATAGATGACCTCTTTACTTTTCAAGGGTAATTAATGCTTAAGAGGGTATAAGAGTTATGTAACTTCTTATTATTTTATTCTAATTTCAGATTTAACTTGAATGCATGTCTCATACAAGTTATTCTTGTATATTTGAGTGGGGCAATTGTAAATAATTTCAAATTTCTTCTTAACCGCAAAAACTTTTAAATTTCAATGAGGGCAATTACCCACACCGGATTTTACAGATATCGGAGAATGGAGATTGTGGGAACGACGATTTAGGTGTGATAGAAGTCCACATCGTCAATGAACCCAAGATTTATTTTTTTTAAAATTTTATTGTTTTGGTAACTGATGAAGGGTTTTTTGGTAGCACCCTGTTGTTTGAACTACTTCCAGGTGGCCGATAATTAAGAGGTCGAAGTGAAGGATTTTTGTTGGATGAGAACTTGGATGCTGAGCTGACTAGGCTGAGTTGGGTTGATTGCTGAGCTAGGTGGCTTTTCAGAGAAACCTGCAATGAATCAATGTTAGAGGACTCGGGGTGGCTAACCCGGTGAAGTCGCTCCGATGATTAAGTAAGTACTCTCGTAGTATATCGCGAGCTAAAAAATCATAAAGTATGAGAGCTAGAATGTGCTTACTCGCCTCTCTCTTGTGTCATTGGGGTTGGTGCCTTTATATAGGCATTGTTTGATTTTGGTCCTCACGCACTGCATCCGAGATTTCCGAGAGGTCGTGCCTAACTGGTCCAAGATCCTTAGAAGTAACCGCCATGCACATTGACCATCCTCTGGAACATTCGATACGTGGGCCAACTTCCAAGAAACCTGGGAGCGTCGGGATATGCATGCCGAATTTGTTGGTGAACACATTTCACAGGTCACTGCTTGGTCCCCAGTCAGGTCGATAAGCCCTCGAGGGAGGTCACTCCTCGCTTCGAGGTCACTTCGACTAGTGACGAGGTGCTACAGGCTGACCCTGGACGAGGCATTACAAGCCGACATAAGTTGTGGTCGAGGTCGCTAGGTCGGCGTAAAGGTAGGTCACCAGGTCGGGGTAAAGACAAGCCATAATTTGAGACTCCAAATCGTCACTTAAGTGGTGTTTAAGTGTCATATAACTATTCTGAGATGTCATTTGTCACGATGTCATTGGAGGGCCAAATCCGCCCTCATCACTCATCAGTAACCAAGACAAATAAGCTTCGTTTCCCACGAAAGCCCGTCTTTCCACAAGCTTCGTTTCCCACGAAAGCCCGTCTTTCCACGAAATAGAAGTGAAAAGAAAGAAAATCCAATAGTTTACTTTCCACCTGCTGAAGCTTCCAACCAAACTGTACAAATGTAAAACAGGTGAAATCCTGCACCACCAACAAGGCACATATGAAAAGTAAATATGGGTGGAAGGATCTTTTGACCCACAAAACTAGGAATCCAATGCAATCCAAGGCTTCAGACAGACAACATGTCGAAGCTGAAGGTGTACATATAAATACTCTTGTGAAATTAGTAAATAGATGAAAAACTTGCTACTTGAAAAGAAAATTTTCCATAACCTTGTTCTTTGGGTGGGGTAAAGCTTTGGGTCAGTTGCTCTACAGAAGTCACTGATGCCGTGTTTGGTTTGAAAGAAATGGTATGAAAAAGCTTGAGGTCTTGTACAGTTTTCCCCATCTTTTTCTTATTTTCTCTGCCTTTTCTTTCAAACCAAGCACAAGCTAAAAGAAATTTGAGCAGAAAGCAATTTTTTTGGGGAAGGGGGAGGGGGTGAAAGTAAATAATAAATTCCGGTTTTTTAGGTTTTTCACCAAACTGGCACTTAATGTCTTCTCCAATCTCCATTGTGCAGAAATGAAGATGTCCCTGTCTGATTGCTAGTTTGGCCTCTCTTGGTTCGTATTTCATATTTTGATGCTTTTGGGCCATAACTCGCACAACTATGCGATTCACGTGATGCCATGATTTATAAACAAACCCTAATTGCTCTACATGTGACATTCCAAAGTGAATCGGTTGGACCTATCTCCATTAAAATTCTGAGTTTTTTTTTTTTTTTT